TGCGTCAGCCGCTCTGCCAGAGTGGCTGAGTGGCTGAGTGGCTGTTTCGATTTCGCGAGCCGTGTTGCACATCCACTCCTTTGTTTGACAATCATTCTTGTGCTATCTGAATATGGTCTCTAGAGTGTGGAGGTGCATTCTGTCCCTTCACTTTTGCCAAGAGTTTATATAGCTCTGTACAAAAACATCAAAGAAACCAAATCAGATCCTGCGATCGACAAGGGCTGCTTTCAGGGCCCTTCAGCGACGAAGTTGGACACTGCTAGATTTGGATTCAATGTATTCTGAACAAGACCCGTGTGGATGCAGTGTTGAGCAGGCTGACATCGATCTGGGACAGATTCAAGTGGAGGCTGCTTCAACCCAACCTTTCAACTTTGAAGGTTTATTAAATGACAAGAAGCACCCAACCTGATACCACAAGGTTGCTTGTTGGAGCTCCATCGCAGCAACGGCCATGGAACAGTCTTGAGATGTCTTGAGACTCTTGATGTTTTGCAAGATTTTTGCAAGCGTGCGATTTACGACGTTTGAAGCATGTGAGAGGCGCAGCGGGATGGCGCCAGAGCTGGGGGTGAGTCTTCTCATGTGCCCGAGGCGCATCGAACCAAGACAGTTTTGAATGATCTCTGCTTTGAGGAACACTTGCAGCCAAAACCCTAAGCGGACTTCCATCTTGTGCTGAACACTTGCCCGCTTTTCAAATATTCAATAGTCAGGGTTTCAAGAGACGGCCCATTCTTCAAAATCTTCAAAATCACAAGTTCCATTGAGCTCGTTTTTCACCCAATAAAACTCTGATGTTCGTGAGCTCTGCACTTGACAGCTGGTGTTGGGCGAAGCAAAGTGGACATGTTTGACGCGCGTCTTCCAGTGTCTTTATTGTGGGAAGCTCTTGTACTGATTCAAAGGAGGGGATACAATACCGTATTACCATGACCAGTAAGACAAAGTAAGATGCATGGACAAGCAATTAGCACGTTTCTAGAAGCGAGCTCGATGCCTCAGGCCGGCCTCGGGGACTACTTCCTCAAGGACTACAAGGGAGGCGGTGTCTTTGAGCACGAGGCCTACGAGCCCTATGCCCCGGAATGGTGCTGGATCCACAAGAGCTCTGGCATCAAGGCACGCGACCGTCGCCATTAGACCCGTTTCGTCACGCCACGTTGTGACGCAGCAGACTCAGTGCAACCCCAGCAGCAGCTCCTGGCAGGTGTGGCAGGATGCCCTGGACCTGACTCAGTCCAGTGGAAGTGGCGAAGTCGAGTGCTTCTTTCATTACACGACCCAGTTGGGGTTCCGAAACATTACGGCTCCACAGAAGAAAGCCGTTGAAGTCTTCGTGCTGCACTCAGTTGCCAATCATCATGTCATGTGATGTCATGTGTTTTTGTGCCCGCTCACCTTGCCGATGGCCACGGCCTTGAGCATCCAAAGGCCTCTTTGCTCACCAGCGGTCCGAAGGCCAATGCGTGGTGGGGACAAGGCAAGGTCATTCATCAAAGCTGACAAACCGTGAGCATTTGCAGACCTTTCTGTCCACTGCAAACAACTCTGACGAGGCGTTTACAGTGTCAGAAGGGCGCCGGATGAATGGCCAGACGTGGCCACGCTGATTGACAATAACTATCGGAATATGCATAAGAGGGACGTTGAATCGAAAGGCCGTGAGGCCGCGGACGAGGAGAGTGTGCCTTTCTTAGGTGCCGCATTTCTTGTCCACATTTTTGGTTCAATTTTTGGATGTGCACATGGTCAGTACCAGTATTTGCAGATTAACAGACCTAGATCCAGTCATGCAGGAGTACGCTTCCCGTGTGGCTTACTGTATTCCACTCTTGGCAAACTCTGCCATATGCTACGATGTTTCGGTTCAACAGACGCCGGAGATGCAGAAGGAGGCTGGTAGCATGCTTTGCCCGATCTTGTGTGGACATTTTCTGCAGCATTTGGCTTGTGACTCATCTTTGCTCTGCGGGGCCAGGGCAAGCCTCCCGGCGTGCCAGGGGCCCAGTCCCTGAGTGCTTCGAAATCTGTTGAACACGCCATTTAGACGTTGCTTTTAAGCCCTGTGGCGCAGGAATCTGGCAGACAAGTTGCTGAATGAACCTGGTCAGCCAGAGAGGCAGTGCGTGGTGATCAGGGTGGAAACAGAGGACGAAGTGGGCCACGCCAGCGCAGTGCTGCTGGACACGAAGCCTGGCTGCTTTCAGGGGCTTGGAGCTTGGGTCTTGAGTCAGCTTGCCATCCAGGGTTATGGCTGTTCAATCCAGGTTTTTGTTCCTTTGAGCTTGCCATATCCAGGAGTTAGGATTCGTCCAGTAGAATTAAAGCAGGTGGGGCGAGTTCAAACTTCTATTGGAAAATGATCCAGAGGGCTGACAAGTTTTTGGCTTTTGATGAATTCTCAAGTTCGAGCTGCACACTGGCCCCTTCGAGCGATTTGGACCAGAACCAGCATGATTTCAAACGTTTCAAGTGTTTTTGATGCAGCCCTGCGACTGTTTCAGCTGCTCTCTTGCTCTCATTGTGCCTTTCCTTCTCCCGGGATCACTGGTCATGTCGCGCCCTGGCAAGTTTACGGAACCTCTCCTGTGGGTTAAAGTATAATGGTCGTGGCAGGATACAGGATACCAAATAGAAAGCGTAAAGCTTCAGCTCTGTTTGGCATTCCACATCTGGAAAGGTACACCACAACATAAAACCATCGTTTTGTCCTGGCTCGGGCCTTGTTCTGCACTTGAAAGTATCAGGGAGTAAAGGCATGGAGCAGAATCGCTTGATGTTTGATCTTGCCACCTGAACATTCACTTTAAGATGTGGAGGAGGCGTGGCTAAGGATCTGGAACTTTGAAGCTCTCTCAGGAGTGCACGCACGACACTTCCTTTGAGATTTCTTGAGTACGGCCCACTTCGAGTTTTATAGTATCTATCGGCTATATTCGTCTATGCCATGTCTATTGACTATGCTATGAGTTGACTTGAATTACCCGCTCCATTTAGGACAAACGTCTGCCAATTTCGGAAAACCTGCCCCCCCGCCCTCACGCGTAAAAACATATGGTTGAAGATCCCGCAAAGCAGGGACCATGCAGCCCAGTAGCCAGCTTCTGACTGAAGCCGGGAGCCGTCCCACACCTTGACGATTTTGCGTACCGTTGGCCATTCTCTTGAACTTGATTTGTCTTCCATGTTGGTGACATGGTCGACCACCGCATTGCCATGTGATAGGCACAGCCATGTGATAGGCATCATCATGGACCAAGGCTGCGGTGCCGTGCAGATGCCACAGCCAGAAGATTGGGCCCTGAGCACCGTTTGGCGCTTTTGGCACTGCATCGGTGCGGACCTCAGTCCCTCCAAAGAGACGAACACATTAGCAAACATGTATTGTTGAGTCAAGAACTGTATTGTCTTGTCACCAGAGATTTGCATCCAGAGATGTTAGAGAGCTGCAAAGTGAAAGCTGTAGATTGCAGTAGGCAACAGTATTTACAACAAGCATCAAATAGTATCAATAAGTATAGCCTATAGCAACTGCTCAAGTGAAATCAAAATAATTCGAATCCCAGAATCTCGTTTTCTCACCAGAGATTTGGATCCAAAAATATGCCACGAAACCACAAATAGTAAAAACAGTGCCCTCTTCTCCTCCACGAAGCCGTGGGAACTTTTCGGCTCCCGTGGCGATCCATGGCCGAGGCTCGCGTACGTGCTGGTGGCCCGCGGCGCCTTCGCGGAGGCCGAGCCGCTGCGGCGCCGATTCCTGGAGGCCCGGGAGCGGCAGCTGGGCCCCGAGCACCGCGAGACGCTCATCGCGGTGAACAACTTGGCGTCGGTGCTGCGGTGCCTGGGGAAGTTCAGCGAGGCGCCGCTGATGTGCTGTGCTGCAGTCACCGTGGCGGGTGGATGGTGCCGCATTTTGTGTTGGGAAAAGTTGAGAAAAATGCAGGGAAACAATCAACGCATTTTCAGATAATCTCAAAATTTTGTCATCTATATAAGTGCGATGATGCATGAAAAATGAACATGTCAATTTTACGCAAATCATCTCAAATCATCTCAAATCACGTCATGTATGGCCAAAACATGGACATGTCAAAGTTTAGCAAAAGATGTTTGCAAAGAACAGATGCCGCGTTGCAAGTTTCAGTCTGAGATGTCTGTCAAAGCGTTTTTGCAAAACATCACAGAACAGATGCACCCTGAGGTTGGAGTTTATTTGCAAACGGAAGATTGGAACGACGATGACGCACATCCAAATCATGTTGAAATGTCAACTCGTCGAACTTTGCGTTTTATTCTTCAAGTTTTGAATTAAGTGTGCATTTTACATGGTACAATTGTACTTGACATCTTTTTCATCAGTCCAAACTCAAGGCCGTTGCCCACCTTTCTTCCCTTTCCACACGGTACTCGCAGGCGGATCCTGGCCTGGGGCCCCACACCACCGGTGCCATCCCGAGACGCCAGGCGGAGGCCCTGCACCGCCGAGCTCTTGCAGGGTGGGAAGCGCACCTCGGTGCGAATCACCCGGACACGCTCACCTCCATGATCAGCCTTGCAGCGCTTCTGCGGGAGCGGGGAAAGCTGGCTGAGGCGGGGCTGAGGTCTTTCGTGAAGAGAGGTGGTGACCTTCCTGGAGGAAGTTTTTCAGGGGCATATTTTTTTCTGTGGCCAAGGCCTGAGGCCTGGATTCTTTCTTTTCGATTTCCCAATATTGGTTGGATTGCTTTCTTGGGCGTAATACATTGTTGGGACCTCCATCCACATTTCATAGTTGTAATTGGCAAAATGAAAATATGGCAAAACTGTCAAATCTTTCGGGTGAATTCCTGCAAATGAATGCAAATGAGGCCTATAGCATATATAGGCGCATGCTGAATGAAAGTATGGCATCTCCGGCATCTCTGAGATGCCAGGCGGAGGCCCTCAACCGCCGAGCTCTTGCAGGGCGCGAAGCGCACCTCGGTGCGAATCACCCGGACACGCTCACCTCCATGATCAGCCTTGCAGCGCTTCTGCGGGAGCGGGGAAAGCTGGCTGAGGCGGGGCTGAGGTCTTTCGTGAAGAGAGGTGGTGACCTTCCTGGAGGAAGTTTTTCAGGGGCATATTTTTTTTGGTGGCCAAGGCCTGAGGCCTGGATTCTTTCTTCTCGATTTCCCAATATTGGTTGGATTGCTTTCTTGGGCGTAATACATTGTTGGGACCTCCATCCACATTTCATAGTTGTAATTGGCAAAATGAAAATATGGCAAAATTGTCAAATCTTTCGGGTGAATTCCTGCAAATGAATGCAAATGAAGCCTATAGCCTATAGCATATATAGGCGCATTCTGAATGAAAGTATGGCATCTCCGGCATCTCTGAGATGCCAGGCGGAGGCCCTCAACCGCCGAACTCTTGCAGGGCACGAAGCGCACCTCGGTGCGAATCACCCAGGGACGCTCAACTCCATGGACAGCCTGGCGCTGCTCCTGCGGGAGCGGGGAAAGCTGGCTGAGGCGGGGCTGAGGTCTTTGGGGTGAGAGGTGACCTTCCTGGAGGACGTTTTTCAGGGGCATATTTTTTGTTGTGGCCAAGGCCTGAGGCCTGGATTTTTTCTTGTCAATTTCCCAATATTGCTGGATTACCTTTTTTGGGCGTAATACATCGTTGGGACCTTCATCCACATTTCATAGTTGTAATTGGCAAAATGAAAATATGGCAAAGCTGTCAAATCTTTTGGGTGAATTCCTGCAAATGAATGCAAATGAGGCCTATAGCATATATAGGCGCATGCTGAATGAAAGTATGGCATCTCCGGCATCTCTGAGATGCCAGGCGGAGGCCCTCAACCGCCGAGCTCTTGCAGGGCACGAAGCGCACCTCGGTGCGAATCACCCAGGGACGCTCACCTCCATGAACATCCTGGCGCTGCTTCTGCGGCAGCAGGGGAAGCTGGCTGAGGCCGGGCGGGGGTCTTTGGGGTGAGAGGTGGCCTTTCTGTATGTTTCACTAGGGCATTAGGCCCAATGTTTTTCTCTTTTTGCAACTGTTGGATTAATATGGATTATTCTCATCGTTCGGGCGAACTACTAATGCAAATTAGTTAAATCCATGCCACATGAAATTAGTACTACGAAACTGTTAATTTCATAGTCGAAATTGACAACCCTACAAGTCCGAGCGAATGTAATATACGCATGTATCAAATTAATGAAATGCAAATTCTCGGCAATCCTCATCCAAAAAGCTGTTCCCAATCATTTCCTGGTTGAAATTGGCAACCCACCAAAACTACGGAATTGAGATTGATATGTGAGTTTGCATACCGCAATGAATACAGGGCGTGCTTGACAAGCACCTTTTTCTTTAAGTCCAAACACTGTGGAGGACATTGTGCGCCTTTTCCCCCTTTCCTGGCCGTGAGGCTTTGGATTTTATGCCCACGCCACCTGTCGGATCTCGGGCCGCCAGGCGGAGGAGCTGCAGCGCAAAGCCCTCGCGGGGCGAGAAACACAACTCGGTGCCGACCATCCCGAGACGCTGACGTCGATCAGTCACCTTGCTGTTGTCCTGCAGCAGAAGGGAAAGCTAGATGAGGCCGGGCTGAGGTCTTTGGGTTGAAGAGAGGTGGTCTTCCTTGAGCCAGAGGGAAAGGCTTGGATGTTGCCTTGTTTCCCATTATTCTTGGATAGTAATTTTCGGGTGATTTATTGCCCATGAAACGGTGTGACAAATGATTCATTTATGCATTCATTTATCATTTGTTGAAGTGATTTTTGTTTATATTATACTTATTTGCTTTTGTTTCCCACACCTCCTGACCATGTGCCCGCCTTCAGCAAAAACTCATGAAGTATAGTCACCCTTCAGCCCTTCAAGAGAGTTCGCCACGTCACGTCTGAAGACTTTTCAAGATTCACCATAGCAGAAGGGAACTGCATGGCTTGTGAAGTCACGCTGGAGAACCGACAGCATAGTGATGCCAACCCAAGTAAATGAAGACCAATGAAGTAATTAGATGTTTTTATTTGCAGGGTGCCCTCTGCATGAGGCCTGGATTTTTTTTTGTTTCCCGGTATTGTTGGATGATTTTTGGGCGAACACTTTCAGTTGAAACTGACAATCCAAAAATTCGGGCAAGTTAATGAAATGCAAATGAAAAGGCGCATCTCGATGCATCTCGGCGATCCTCATCCAAGAAGCTGTTCCCAATCATTCCCTGGTTGAAATTGGCAACCCACCAAAACTACGGAATTGAGATTGATATGTGAGTTTGCGCACCGCAATGAATACAGGGCGTGCTTGACAAGCACCTTTTTCTTTAAGTCCAAGAACTGTGGAGGACATTGTGCGCCTTTTCCCCCTTTCCAGGCCGTGAGGCTTTGGATTATATGCCCACGCCACCTGTCGGATCTCGGGCCGCCAGGCGGAGGAGCTGCAGCGCACAGCCCTCGCGGGGCGAGAAACACAACTCGGTGCCGACCATCCCAAGACGCTTGAGTCGATCAGTCACCTTGCTGTTGTCCTGGAAGAGCAGGGAAAGCTAGATGAGGCCGGGCTGAGGTCTTTGGGTTGAAGAGAGGTGGTCTTCCTTGAGCCAGAGGGAAAGGCTTGGATGTTGCCTTGTTTCCCATTATTCTTGGATAGTAATTTTCGGGTGATTTATTGCCCATGAAACGGTGTGACAAATGATTCATTTATGCATTCATTTATCATTTGTTGAAGTGATTTTTGTTTATATTATACTTATTTGCTTTTGTTTCCCACACCTCCTGACCATGTGCCCGCCTTCAGCAAAAACTCATGAAGTATAGTCACCCTTCAGCCCTTCAAGAGAGTTCGCCACGTCACGTCTGAAGACTTTTCAAGATTCACCATAGCAGAAGGGAACCGCATGGCTTGTGAAGTCACGCTGGAGAACCGACAGCATAGTGATGCCAACCCAAGTAAATGAAGACCAATGAAGTAATTAGATGTTTTTATTTGCAGGGTGCCCTCTGCATGAGGCCTGGATTTTTTTTTGTTTCCCGGTATTGTTGGATGATTTTTGGGCGAACTAGTGAACATTTATTCACGCGAATGAAAGTAGGACATGGCTGGACCCCCATTCGCAAAATTGTTACTTTCAGTTGAAACTGACAACCCAAAAATTCGGGCAAATTAATGAAATGCAAATGAAGGGGCGCATCTCGATGCATCTCGGCGATCCTCATCCAAGAAGCTGTTCCCAATCATTTCCTGGTTGACATTGGCAACCCACCAAAACTACGGAATTGAGATTGATATGTGAATTTGCGTACCGCAATGAATACAGGGCGTGTTTGACAGGCACCTTTTTCTTTAAGTCCAAGAACTGTGGAGGACATTTCTTAAATCAGTTGCAGGACGTGAGACTTTGGATTATATGCCCACGCCACCTGTCGGAACTTGGGCCGCCAGGCGGAGGAGCTGCAGCGCAAAGCCCTCGCGGGGCGAGAAACACAACTCGGTGCCGACCATCCCGAGACGCTGCAGTCGATCAGTCACCTTGCTGTTGTCCTGGAAAAGCTGGGAAAGCTAGATGAGGCCGGGCTGAGGTCTTTGGGTTGAAGAGAGGTGGTTTTTTGTGAGCCAGAGGGAAAGGCTTGGATGTTGTCTTGTTTCCCACTATTCTTGGATAGTAATTTTCGGGTGATTTATTGCCCATGAAACGATGTGACAAGTGATTCATTTCTGCATTTATTTATCATCGCTGAAGGGTTTTTTGTCTATATAATATTTATTTGTTTTTGTTTCCCACACCTCCTGACCATGTGCCGGCCTTCAGCAAAAACTCATGAAGTATAGTCACCCTTTATCACACTCGCAAAAGAGTTCATCAAACCTGAACTATACCAGAAAGGAACTGCGTGGCTTATGAAGTCACCAACAGGATAGTGTTGCCAACCCAATTCAATGAAGACCAATGAAATGTAGTTGTTTTTCAAGGTGCCCTCTACAATAGATCCTTGATTAATATTGGGCTTCCAAAACATCTCATGTGGATCCGGGGCCAGTTTTGATCGATTTGCTTCGCGTTTCAGATGCTATATATATATATAGACAGACTAGCGACATCTAGCGATTGCCCAGGCACCCAGATTGCAAGAGGGATCTTGTCATTACATATGGCAAGAACGACTAGAAATCACACATCGAGCGCTCATGTGAGATATGTGAGGAACCTACGAAAGTCCAAATCATTCCAAATCTATGAACGTGATTCGACATGTCAAAGTGGTTTGGGGAAAGTCTTCAAAACATTGGACAAGACATGGGTGACCCAAAAAGGGTGCCAACAGGTACAGGCCCACCGTCCCCAATGACATTTGAAGTTTTTAGGCTTGGTTTGAGTTGATGGATTTCGGATGACAGTACAGGCACTTGATTGACTGTGACAATAGCACCAGTTCAACTGAACCTGTGAGTAGAGTATTCCTTAGAAAATACGTTATATGTATATAAATAATAATTATAAATATATTGTTATATAATGTACATAAAGATTGAATTATCCAAACTGCCCACATGATATTGGTGAGAACCTCATGGGCGCTTAGTTATGTAATTCATGTGATATTCATGGTGTATTATACTGTGATGTTTTTGTCGGGCGTTTGGGATGGCAGATCATCCGGGCAATTATAAGCCTCCGTGATCACCCCGGGGTTGTTTCATGAGAGCAGGCAGGTGTTAAGTAGGGACGCGGATTATGATAGTCTCCTGGGGATTGTCAATACAAAAAAGCCCTTGGCAAGCGCTTGACAAGTGTGGGACAGGTTTTGGCTTAAGTTGAACGGTGAAGCATTTCCCGCAGGGGCGAGGCCCCTTGAAATCAGACAGGCAGGCCCCCATGAAAACCATTGTGATTGTGGAAACATATATCCGTGCATCGATTGGGTGTCCATTGTGGCGCAATACCGCGCACATATGAGGCACAGCGCGGAGATCAAAAAACATTTCACAAAAATGATTTTGGTGATCCTCTAAAGCTGATTGCAGTGAATTCAAAAAGTTCTGGAAAGGTGCTTGGAATATCAGTCTAGTCCAAGAACTGCGGCCCTCCACGAGACCTGTGCCCTCCATGTTTCACCACCTCAGTGCTCCATCTCGAGCGGCCAGGCAGAAGGTCTCTACCGCCGAGCCTTGGAAGGCCAAGAGTCCCAATTGGGACCTCAACATCCGGACACGCTCGTCTCGGTTAACAACTTGGCCATGCTCTTGGAGAGGCAAGGCAAGTTGGAGGAGGCGGGGCTGAGGTCTTTGGAGTGCACAGAGGTTGCGGAAGTGTCGAGGGGGAAGGCAGTTCTCGATTGGCCAGGACAAGGGCCCTGGTGAGTTTTCTTGCTTTTCCAGTTTCACTGGAGCAATTTAGAAACTTTTTCTCCGGAATCCAAGCTTTGATTGGACTTAACTTGTTTAGCTGGGTTGTTGGATCATAACAGCAGTACATGCAAATTTTTGTGCAGGGGTAGATCAACATTGTTTTGCAAGAAGTGACTATGCATATAGAGCTTTGGCTGATGCATCGATCATGTGTGCCAGATTGCACGCGGTTCAACAAAAGCCTTCACCCTGGCTTCTTGGTTCCCACAATCCCATCCCTTGCAGATCAGATTCTGAGATTTGCAGGTTTTGATGTTTGAACAATCAATGGGCCACACTGCACCACCAACACATTGCCTCTCAACAGTCGCGGATCACGGCACAAGGCCCGTCTTGCCACGGCATGGGGCGCCACCCTGCTGTCATCCATCCACAGTCCACCCTGCAGGCGGAGGAGCTCCATCGCAGGGTCTTGACGGGACGGGAAGATCAGCTGGGCCCCGTGCATCCGGACACCCTCACCTCCGTGTGGAATTTGGCACATCTTCTGGAGGACAAAGGCTCCGTCACAGAGGCGATGCCGGCTTGTGTTGTTGCTTGGGGCGGTTCTGCTTGGAGGGGATGTCAAGGTGGGAAGTCGATGAAAGTTGAATAAGTGGTTTAACAGCGACGCCTTCCTGAAAGGAGATCTCACTAGTCTTGGCAAGAGTGTTGTCAAGATTCGAAAGATGATGTTTTATTCTGCTTTCTTTTTATAAATGCTTTCTTATAGAGACGAGGTTTTGTGACATTCTGGTTGGGTATACCCAACCGGTATTAAGATATTGCAAGTTCCAAGTGATGCGGTTGCAAGATCCTAAGGTGCGTCATCAGCCCGGGTCCCGGGTAGCCACCCACTGCCATGCACCACGTCTAGGCAGGGCAACTCTATCTCCGCGAGCTGCGCGGCCTGGAGGCGTCTGCCAGGGTCACACGGGAACTGTCGATGGCTGACCTTGGACGGCTCCAGACCATGAAACCCAGACACCATCTGGGTCCAGCTGGTAGTCGCTGCTTGTGGATTTTGGAGTCAAAAAGTGTTGGTCGCATTTAGTTGAATTCCATCAATGGACATCTTCACTGTATATTCATGCATCTAGATTTTGCAACAAGAACAATGTTTGATCTGATAATCTGATACTGTAATTGTTCCTCTCTTTTTGCTTTCGGTATCATGGCGTTCGGTGTTGCAAGTTCCTTGCTGCCCGCTGGCGCGAGCGTGAAATCATTGAGCCCTGCCAACACCTGTGTGTGTGTGAAACATCTGAAGAGATGTAAAACTTCCTATCGATTCGTTCTTTTATTTTTTCTAATCCTGTTTCAATCAGCAGGGGAGTGCGGCATGATTGTGGGACCGCACTCAACGAAGCTACCACAATCATGGGATACTGGGTCTGATCAACCCAGCGTACCTGCCATTTCAATTTCCGCTTTGCAAGTTTCTTGTCAATGGCAACCGGCTAAGCCCAGAACCGGCAAGTCGATTCGATTTTCATTTCTTTTCTGCACTGTTGTCGCAATCTGGCATCTTATTTTATTATTTTATTTGGAGTTCAGCTGCATCAGAACCTTCTTCAGAGCAAGGACGTAGAAAGTATACCTCGAACTGAATTTCACGATGGATCAACAAATTTCTCCTGTCAGGTTTACTGGATTGTTTTTTGCACGTACGATGCATTCCACAACAGAAATTCGCAATGATGTTTCTGAGCAAGTGTGTCATTCCTGCTGTGTACGTCAAGTTGGCAGGAACCCTTCGGGGAAAGCCTTTCTAGGCTAACTGTGGACAGTAAAACGATGTCTGAATTTACACTTTTGAATTAGTAATTCGTCTAAGTACAGTGAACCGCTGGCCATTTTTCGATTCTCACCCTGCCGATGTCGTTTGGTTGAACAACTGGCCGCCGTGTGGCTTCATTTCTTTCAGTGGTTTTCTCAATGCATAGCCTGAAGCTGCGACAACATCCGTTTTTCAATGATGCCCAAGAGAGTACGGAGCTCGACAGTTTGCATCATGACATGATTTCATTTGGAGGTTTCAGGACATGCTTTCCAGGTGTGGTCTCTTCTTTTTGGTTTCTCGGTGAGGTTGAAATTGTGCACGTAATTCAGGGGTTGAACACTTAAGCCGTCTATAGGGTTGGAACCTGAAAGCCGAGGGCCTTGGAGCCTTATCATGAATCTTGCACGCGTTGTGGATGCATCCAATTTATTTCATAACTAAGCATAGTGATCGTCTGACAGTGCTGCCAGACTTGACCTGTCTTGCCATGTTTCCTTGTCGCTGGCCAAACCTTTCGGAAAACATGTGGAACTTCGGCTGGTCAACGCCATCGTTCTCGTCACCTCAACCATTTGGACAATTTTGTGGAGGTGATATGATGAGTCCACAGTCTCAAGCTCAGTCTCAAGCTCAGACCCAGGCACAGTTGGCTCATTTACGGGAACAGAATACATTATTGAATCAACAATTGGCTTCCCAAGCTCAGACCCATGTTCAGCAACTTCAGCAGCTCCTTCCATTCCATCAGCCTCCTCAATCGTCAGCACCTCATCAGACTCCTCCTTCAGTGCCTGATCCACCAACGGTGCCACCAGTCCAAACACCTCCAGCTTCCACTCCATCTCCAGCAGATCAACAAGGGTCCAACGTCACTTTCAATCCAGAAGCGATGATCCAACAGATGCGTGACACAGTGGAATCTGGCATGCAGGCGTTCATGGAAAAGACCAAAGAAAGGTCCAAAAGTCCTCTTCCAAGTGTGACACAACCTCCACCATCCACTCCAGTCGCAGAGCCTCCACCTGCTGTCCCATTACCACCACTTCCACGGCTTCCACGCCGTTCCAGGTCACGGTCAAAACGTTTTTCAGCTCATGTGGACAAACGTCCAATGTCGATCCCAAGAAGCCCGAGACGCCACAGACGTGACAGTCGTCCTCGTCATCGTCGACGACATTCCAGCTCACGGGATGAATCCATGCCTCCAAGCCGTGCTCAGTCAGTCACTCTTCGCTCGAACTCCCCACGCCTCCGTGAAGTACCACATCAACGCGATGAACATCGTCAACGTGATGATTACATCTCTCCATCTACCACCCATCAACCGGAATCTTGGAACTATCAACATCACGACCAACCTACGACCTTCGACAAGAGGGACCACTATGATCAATCCACCTACCACGATCACAGTTCCACCAACAAGTGGAAGTCCTGGCAGTCTTGGAAGGACTACTCCAAGACCAAACATCATGTGCATCCTTCCGGATGGATCGACTATCCAAAGCCTTATCACAAACATCAATCGTATGATGGACCTCCCACCAGATATCCTTCCAAACCTCTGACGGCATTCTCACTTGAACAGCATTCACAGACCCATGGCAATCATCCCCATCGCTCTGGTTCCGCTCAGTCCAGAGCTTCCACCCTTCCACCTGGTCATATTGCCATCAACCTTCAAGAAGGTTCCAAAGAAGAATGGGCCCGTCAAGTTACTCATGCTCTCAACCACCCGGAGAGGATGAGGCCGGCAAATCAACTTGATGCCACGGAACTCCCACAACCATCCACGAGCATCGTACGGGAGCACTTCGATGAGGCCATGGAAGAACTTCTTAAAGTTGATTCCAGAATCCCAACAGACATTGGGCGGAAGGCCATACACTTATTGTCGAGCACCGGCATCCTGACAGATTTTGATCTCTCCACCTGCCATGTTCGAGAACTTCCTCAAACAGGCATGTTAGCCTTGGTCATGCCGTTACCAGAATGCAGCAGGTTCCAAATGCCTCCTCCCTTTGGGGGCCAAACCCTCATCACATGGGCACTTGGTCACGGTACGACCCTCAGCACCTCGCAGATGATCCTCATGGAGGGCAAGATCAGACCAGCAAACTGGTCCTATCATCACAATGCACAGCGATGTCACATGCCAACATTTGGTGCTTTTTACATGGGCCGACAGATCGCCAATGCTGACAAAAATATTCCAAAGTGGGCAGAACAAGACCTGCTCGATTCCATGGGCAAAAAAGGCAAAGGTCAGCAAGAGATCGTCATTGGGGCGATGTATAGAGGATCAATGGAACATCTTGCAATGCGAGCTGGAGGGAACGAGCAATGTCAGCTCAATGTGGCTAAGAAGGGCCTCGTGACCACTCCTGAGAAGTACACGATTGCCCACAGCTACCACGTAGGGTTGAAATTCGTCGCATTCAGATGGACCGACCTCAAGGAGGATGACAAACTGCCACGACGTCCTATTGATCTGCGGGACACCGACTCTGAAGACAATGTCAACTATCGCGCCAATGAGGAACGGCGTGCAGCCAGATCCCGACGTTGAGCACTTAAGCCAGCCTTTTCAGATCGTGTATCTTTAGCTTATTTGTCCTAAACAGGATCTTAACTTCTTTTCTAGGGACTTCCTGGACAAACGCATTGGAAAAATGCTCAATAGCATTGACTGACCTGTCCATGCAACGTGCTGTTCAGCTTGATGTGATTGCCTTTCTTGTGAGAAGGTTTCTTTCTGTTGGCTTTGACGGTTTGATGCACTGTTCACTTTGTTTGCCTTTTGATTTACACCATACGTTTGATGATTCACTTCATTTCAATTTGCCACTCGTTGCAACCACTGCAGCCTTTTTTGATTCACCAGTCATTTTGGGACTTGATTACGAAACCATGGCAGAGTCTGATCGATCCCGTTCACCAGTACCTGGTCGAAATCGCGCAGAACCCGTCCCTCCTCGCCCTCCTGTACGGCAAGATCTTCCTTTCTTCCCTCGATGGTGTGGTCCTATGCAATCAGCGATTTGGCACTCCCAACAAATGTTACGACCTCAGTCCAGACCTCAGTTTCAGCCTCAGTTCACTGTAAGCCAGCCGGGACCTTATATGATGAATACTTCCACCAATCCATCAACCTCGATGAACGCATGGCAAAATCCAAGATTCCCGTCAGCAAATCCAAGATTTCCACCTGCACCTCCTTCGTCACCACCACCAACACTTGCTTATCCAATTCCATCCAAATCAGTCACTCCACCATGCTCACCTACGATCCCATGTGCTCCGACTCAACTGGCCTCGCCCAGCACTCCTTCGATTCCATCATCCCAACCTCGCCATCCCGGCACACCATTCTAAAAGTCACCAGGGGGACAGACAACCACTGATGACAGCCGTACATTTGGTTTCGATTTGAACCCTCACTGGCAAGAAGATCAAGACCATTACGACAATCAGAAGATCAACGGCTTGACCTTCCCTCGATGCATTCGACCGTCAGCTTTTACACAGAAGCTGGACATCGAGGGCTGTGATCCATTGAAGCTACCGGTGGCGGCTCTGCTGTATCAGCAGGCCAACAACTTTTGGCTTCGGAAGCTGGCTCATGGGCGTGAACTGTACATCATTCCTACTGGTGACATCGCAGCTGTTGTATTCATGACGGAGCTATTGACTCAACTCAGAAACAAGGGAGTAGACATCGACAAAGTCTCTTCCAGCAAAGCCAGACAAGACGGCAAGTTTTTGGACAAGACCAACAACACCAAGTATGCAGCACAACAAATTGCTGACCTGATCCATAGCTGGGTTCCTACCAAATCAGCTGACCCGGATACTCGGCATGAACTGACTCAGCTTCGCAGCCAACTTGCTCAGCTACGGCAACAACTTGGTGAAACTCCCGGTGAACCTTCAACCCCGGGAACCACTGGTCCATCTGCCTCCAGTCCTGCCGCTGCACCTATCCATGCTGCTCTCCTCCGCAGCTCTCAGCATCCAGCTCCTCCAGCCCCACCAGGCTTTGATCCCTCTTCCCTCTTGGTAGCTACCACCGTCGTCAACCCTTGGATCGCTCAGAATATGCCTCCAACACTTGCTGTTCGTGCCTTCAACAA